CATAGAATAAGTCTTCCCTGGAATGTCATCTCCCATTGCTCTCCACTCTACCCCAAGTCTACTTGCCTTGCACTGTCCATTGGTAATTACCCTCTTTTTTAAAAAAATTATTTATTTATTTATTTATTTATGTATGTATGTATGTATTTATTTATTTATTTATTTTGAGAGAGACAGAGAGCCTGCAAGTGGGGGAGGGACGGTGAGAGAGAGAATCCCAAGCAGGCACTGCACTGTCAGCATGGAGCCGGATGTGGTGCTTGAACCCACGAACCATGAGATCATGACCTGAGCCAAAATCAAGAGTCAGATGCCCAACCGACTGAGCTACCCAGGTACCCCTGTAGTCATCCTCTTGTGTGAATTCCACTCAAGTCCTCCTTTAGCCCTTTCTGGACACTGAACTTACTGCCAGTACCAAAAATAGCATGACAGCTTCCTTTTAGTGGGTGCCTGTGCACGCCTGACCTGCCTTAACAGTACATCATACTAGTACCCTTTACACGTGTCCTATATAGTCCTTATTATATAGGTACTATTATTATGCCCGATGTACTGATGAGAAAAGGAGAGGGTCAGAGATGTTAAGCAACTGGCCTAAAATCACACAGCTACCACAATTCTAAAACATCTACTCCTTGCCTCCCTTTCAACCTTTAACTTGCACCACTTTCCTCCTTACCCTCTATATTCTAGTCACAGTGGATTTTTTTTTCTTTCTCAAAACTACAAAATAACTGCCCCTCCCCCCCCCCCCCCCCCCCCAAAGTCTAGCTCAGTCTCACCTCAAGGCTTTCACACTGGCTTTTGTCTGGAATGCCTTCCAAGTTTTGCAGAACTGGTTCTTGCTTTTTATTACATGGCACCTCCTAGAAGTGTTCCTTGTCCACTGATCTAAAACTGCCCCCCCCCAACCTTTCTTGATCATGGCCTTGATCATGTTCTTCCAAGCATGTATCGTTTCTAGTGATTTCTCACCGATCTATGTGTTTGTTCTGCTAGACCACACCGTTGCAATATAAGCTCCCGGAAAGCAAGCACCTTGTCTCTGCTGTGCACAGCTGTATCTCTGGAACCTAGGACAATGGCTGGCAATTGGTAAGCACTCAAGAAATATTTGTTGAATGAATAAGTTATTCCAATATTCATGCTTTTTGTCTCTATTCTATGTGACCTCTCTAAATTAGGGCTTACAGCACTTACAGTTTAACCATATAACTTAGCCATTACGTATTTTAGGATTTCGCCATATTCTATTTGCTATTGTTGCATTCACAATCACTTACAACCTGTGTGTGTGTGTGTGTGTGTGTGTGTGTATTTGTGCATGCGTCTAATCACTGATTCACATGAACTAGCCTTGTCTTTCCAGCGAAGAGCTTGTGGTCTAGGTTTATCTGCCCTTCCTATTTCACCCAGCAGAGGACTGATCATACAGGGTCTCAAATAGTTGTTGCGTGAACTGATAATTTTGTGATTCTGAGTGAGGTGAGTGATGTCTAGTTTACTTTCTTTCTGGTTTGTGGAACCCTATTCAGGAAGCATCCTGGGCCTGGGATCAAAGTTTTCAGGTTTTTGTGTCTCCCAGCAAGTGATTGCCTGGTGTTGTCCAGCCCAAGTCCTGAGCCTGATGGCATTTCCTGCGGGGGGTGGGGGGTTGTTGCGGGTGGGGGGGGTCCTAGGCTAGTGGCCCACCTAGGCTGGAAATAATCAGAAGCAAGATATTAAAAAAAAGTAACCCCTTCTTGTGATTATTTTCTGCCTGGTTAAACTAAAGAACTGAGGTAACATTTGAACTTCTTGGAGTACAAGAAGAATGCTCACTGGTAGGCCAATATATTCTGTGCCTGGAATGCATTTTTTTTTTTTTTCAACATTTATTTATTTTTGGGAAAGAGAGAGACAGAGCATGAACGGGGGAGGGGCAGAGAGAGAGGGAGACACAGAATCGGAAACAGGCTCCAGGCTCTGAGCCATCAGCCCAGAGCCTGATGCGGGGCTCGAACTCACGGACCGCGAGATCGTGACCTGGCTGAAGTCGGGCGCTTAACCGACTGCGCCACCCAGGCGCCCCTGGAATGCATTTTCTTGAATTTTATATTTGGGTTTTTTTTTTAATGTTTATTTATTTATTTATTTACTTGTACTGTAGTATTTATTTATTTATTTCCTGACAAAATGACTTCCAGCAAAATGCAACAAATTTTGTCTTTGAAGCCTAAGCAATCTTTTCATCCTTATACACTTTTAAAATGGCATTATAGATGTTGAATGTTTCTTTATTTTAGAGAGACAGAAAGAACATGAGTGGGGAGGGGCAGAGAGAGAGACACACACACACAGAATCTGAAGCAGGCTCCCGGCTCTAAGCTGTCAGCACACAGCCTGATGCTGGGCTTGAACCCAGCAACCGTGAGATCATGTCCTGAGCCAAAAAGTCAGATGCTTAACTGACTGAGCCACTCAGGTGCCCCCAAATTCTTATGATTTTATTGTTATATATAGGTCTAATTTCAGAAAGCATTTAAATTATTGATAAATATATGCAATGTCCAAGTTAACATAAAAAATGAAGGTAAAAGAAAAAAAGATAGTGAAGAGATGACATAAAATGGACCTAAGTAGAACTGGAAAAGTTTATTCTGTATTAAAACTCTACAGTATTTTTCAGGTGGGCCACACATCTGCCTTTAAACTTTCTTGCCATCAACACCCAAGACATTAATTCTCATTTCAATATATGAGTGAATAACAATCTAGTATTTCTTTTCATGGTTATTATTTTGAGAGAGAGAGATGGAGCACGAGCAGAAGGGGCGGAGAGAGAGGGAGAGAGAGAATCCCAAGCAGGCTCATGCAGAGCCCTACGCAGAGCTGATGTTGCAAACTGTGAGATTATGACTTGAGCAGAAATCAAGAGTCAGATGCCCAATGATTGAGCCACCCACACACCCCAAAAATCTAGTGTTTATACCAATCATACACATCTACATTAAAAAATATGTGCAGATGTACTAGCAACAATAACAACCTCATTACAAAACAAATTTCTAAAACACTTAGGGCAATATTTTCGTGTTTAAAAATGATCAATATTCCCTTTCTTCTCCCTTTCCACTAATAGTCCTAGGAGAGAAATCCTGTTATTAAACAATCGTTAACTAAGCAGGGCATATTCTAATTCTTGGGGCATTTCCAGCAATTTTTTACTAATTGTGAATGACAGTGAGTAGGTAGTCCAGATGAAAGGGAAAGAAATGAACGTTACTAAAAGACTTACGTGTCGTCCGTAAATGTTATTCCAAAGTACTCCTTTTCTTTCAGGTTGAAATGTGAAGCCACAAGGTCCAGCAATTCTCTTGATAAAAGTTTGGGCTGTCAAAATAAAATGTTATCAGAGAAGCAATTTCGTTGCCTCACTCTCTTTTTGCCACCACCCTTCTCTGCCCCAAATAGTTCAAAGCAGCTTTTGTTTGTTTGTTTTTAAATATCTGCCCCCTTTGGCTGCCTAGGTTAATCTACTATAGACCATTCTCCAAGAGATTGGGAAGGGGGAGAAATGGTAATAGAAACATCAATGAGATTGTCAGTTTCATGTATTTGCAATTCATGTAAGTAATTTACTTTTTCCTCCCAGGGGACAATGTATTTACTAACATGATGATGTTTTGGAAAAATACTTTTTTTAGAAGTCATTTTGAATGTTTATTTTTATTTATTTTTGAGGGAAAGAGAGCATGGGTGCACCACCAGTGGAGGGGCAGAGAGGGAGGGAGGGAGAGAGAGAGAGAGAGTCCCATAGCACAGAGCCTGCCATGGGGTTCAATCCTACAAAACGTGAGATCATGAACTGAGCCAAAATCAAGAGTTGAATGCTTAACCAACTGAGCCACCCAGGTGCTCCTGAAAAAATACTCTTTTATAGGTACTATGGTGCTAGTGACCAAGACAAAGAATATCAAACACCTCACTACGTGGACTGTAGGAATAATCTTGCCTGCAGGGTGCCAGTTGAAGAGACCCAAGGCTGTGGGATCAGAGATAAAACTATGACTCTGCTACTCATTACCATTTATTGTCCCAAACTCCTTCTATCCATTATCTCACTTTGTGCTCAGGATGAGCCTATGAGATAGGGGTTCTTATTGCCCTTTTACAGATGAGGGGGCCAAAGTCAAGAAAAACTAAGCACCTGGATTGATGTTACAGTCAGTAAGGGCAGGGAATTGAACCCAGTTCTGTCTGATTCCAAAGCCTACGCTTTTCATCTCTCTCTCTTGAGATGGAGTGATCTTACCCATTGCATATACGATTGTCACCAGTGTTTCCTAAACACTTATAAGAAGGATCTAATCTATGAACTTTTGAGAAGCACTGGGCCTGGTGGCAAAATGCATGTTTTGGAATCAGGGGGAACATCCCGGGTGATAGCAGACGCCTGATTTGCAGGAACAAGGGAAGAAAAGGGTGATATGCAAGAGGGCATCTACATAGACTCTTTCTGAACTTAGAGCCAAACAGTTTAGGGCTCATTATGGTGGTTTGAGAGTTGGATGTTTGCTGCTGGGGAAGAAAGAATGGTCATGATTAAAAAAAAAAAAAAAAAAAAAAAAAAAAAAAAAAAAAAAAAAA